CCCCCGGAGCCTGCCCTCAGCCCCCCCTCTGGTCTGCAGGTAAATACGGCCAGCTCGGCCACGGGGACAGCGCCAGTTTGGACCGGCCCCAGCAGGTGGGCTACTTCCCTGCCCGTGGGCTCAGCGTGGAGGACGTGGTCTGCGGCCCCTGGAACACCTACGTCTGCGCTGCAGAGACAGGGGAGGCTGAGGCCAGAGGCACCGGGGATGACACTTAGGCACAGAGCTGAACTGACTGTGGTCCAGCCGGCACCTGCCCTGGCTGCAGCTGCCCCCCCCCAGACATGAGGCGCAGGTGGGCTACTTCCCTGCCCGTGGGCTCAGCGTGGAGGACGTGGTCTGCGGCCCCTGGAACACCTACGTCTGCGCTGCAGAGACAGGGGAGGCTGAGGCCAGAGGCACCGGGGATGACACTTAGGCACAGAGCTGAACTGACTGTGGTCCAGCCGGCACCTGCCCTGGCTGCAGCTGCCCCCCCCCAGACATGAGGCAGAACACCAGGCCAGATGCTGCTCCATGTATTTTCTGCAGTGAACTGTACACTTAATTCCACACTGCCCCTCCCCTGCATCGCGCCTGCCAGGGAGGGCCTTAAAGGAAGCAGCTCTTGAAATGCTCCTGCAGCAGCCCAGCCCCCCTGCAGTGCTAGCACAGCCACTGGGACCTAGGGCACTAGCCCTGCCCAGCAAGCGAGGCAGAAGGAATTACCAGCAAGGCAGGCCAAGGAGCAGCTGAGGGGGGCTCTGGCTGCCCCACTTCTCCCTCCCAAGGGCCCACAGGCTGGTGCAGTAGTGTACGCAGAGCAAGGCGCAGTAGTGTACGAAGAGCAGGGCAGCCCTACTCTTGAAAATATTGCATCTAACAAAGCATGAAAGTCTCCGCAGTATAAACCATTAAAAACATCTCCCTCCCCCCCGCTGCTGGCTCCCGCCCCAGGCCCCCCCGGCCACGCAGGGCAGCCAGGCTGCAGCGCATCCCGCGAGCCAGAGCCTGGGTGGCCGCCGTCACCTCAGCAGTGCAGGTTGGTGCTGGTCGAGTTGAGGATCCGGACGCTGCTGTCAGATCTGGAAGCCTTTGAAAGCTCGCGCTGCGGGAAGAGGAAACCGGGAATGAGGAGGCAGCAGGGCTGGGCCGGAAGGGCTCGCTGGACCATGCTGCCCACCTCCCCCGAGACTGGGCTGCTGGAGAAACACGGCACAAGTAGCCCCACGACCCACAGTTTTCAGACCGTTTTTCCTACCGTTACAACACGTGTTTGAACTTACTGGCAGCCAGGCGGGCGCTGGAGTTTTTGGGTGTAAAAAGCAGAAAAGCAAAGCGCTGTAAAAAGCAAAACGCTGTTTTCTCCACATCGTAGTTGTGCTGACGGACCCCTGGACTTTGAGTGCCCCAAGGAGGCGAGAGGCCCTGCGCTTGTGCACTGCCCCGCCGTGGCTGGGCTGCAGGACCGGCCCAGGGCGGAGAGCACGAGCACATGCACTGGCCCTGTCCTGCCACAGGGACCCTGCTTCCTTTTGGGCCAACCCTGAGCAGGGGGAGGAGGTAGAAGCCAGCAGGGGGGCAGAGCTCTGGGGAGACAGGCAGGGTGCCACCCTGGGCCAGGAGCAATGCCCCACAATGTTTCTCCATTTCTCAGTTGTGGGGGTGATGCCGGAGGCAGGCCGCCCATGGAGCCCTCGCCCTGGGAGGTGGCTGTGGAGGGCAGCGCGAGGGACCCTGCCTCCGCCTCGGCACAGGACAAACAGGGAGGCGGGGGCCTTGCTCAGGGCAGCCCCCTCACCCGCCACCACAGGAACACGTATGGGGGCAGCAGCGCTATCGAGGGGCACCGTGGCCTGGACTGCGCAGGGAGCAGGGTTCCAGCTCCAGTACCAGGCTCACCCGGCTAGACGTGCCTCCTCCCGGGACACGCGAGCGGCGTGCAGCGCCTGCGGAGAGGCGCCTGCAATCCCGAGACCAGTGGGGGCGGCAGTGCTGCAGCTGGCAGGCTGAGGGGGCGAATGGAACCCACAGGCTGGGCCCAAGGCAGACTTACCCCAGACCTGCGGGTGGCACCGGCAGGGACAGGGAACCCCGCCCTGGGGGAGTGTTGCCTGCCCAGGTGGGGGTGTGAGCTCACCGCCCCTGCTCCTTGCCTTGGCGGGCAGAGCAGCCTGTTGCTGGCTTCTTTCACTTGGCAGTGCCAGCTGAGCACCCCATGGGAGGCCACAGCACCGTGCCCAGAGCCTGAGCCCCTCCGGCTAAGGGGCCGCAGGGGACACAGCTCCACGG